TGGTAGCACTAATGCTTTCCCTCCTTCCGCTTTGTACAAGCTGTTAGCTGCATGATTGTTTCGGAAGTATTTTATTATTTGCACAACATGCTCCTTTATACTGCTAATTTCTAAATCTTTGGAAAGTAAGTTCAACAAGTGTGCAGAACAGCCGTATGTGATTATTGTATCACTATTTTTTAATTCCTTCCGCATTTTAGCCATGTTCTCAGCGTTGTCGGTAACAAAACAAATTATATTGAGATTTTAATCTTTCTATCAAACCCTCAGCAAGTTCAGCTAGGTATTCACCAGTGTGCGGCTTTCCTGTAGTGTCTATCGAGTCAAAAAGAATTACTTCAGATTGCCCCGTCGTAATAGTGGCGCAAATAATCGGTTCATTGTGAACCTATAGACATATTCACATAACTACCAGATAGATTAGAAAAACACCGTTCTTTTTCTTCAGGGTATATTTGATCCAATAATTTGCCTGATATATCCTTCCGAGATGGTGGGATATACCCTGGGCGTAATAATGAAATGGTTTTTTTTACTTCTCGATGTTCAATACTTCTGAAGCTACAGTTTGTAGCAAACATGGCCTTTGCTATTTGTCGGTCTATTGTTTCTTTTGTAGATTTTGGCGTTGTTACTATAAAGCAGCTTAAGTTTGCAGATAGTTTCTTTTTTTTAAGAGACGGTTCCGCGCAATCGTCGCCTTTTGCCGAAGAACTTGCAGATGAGCTAGGTTTGGAAAGTGCAGCCAATTCTGAAAAATATATTTTACTTATGATGTTATTTGTTACGCAGTTAGTACCATTAAAACAATCATGTCTACAGACATCAAGCAGTTAAAATTTCTCACTAATCATACTGTTGTCCACTGAGTGCGATCACCAAAACCATATAGAAAACTAGTTAGTATTCTTTAGTTTGTTTTGTAAATAATAACTTTAATAATTTACCTACAACTTCAACATCGTCACGAGAATCCGGAATATTATTTTTGCACTTTTCGTAATGTATTTTCATCCTCGCAACCAGACCTTGAATTTCTTTTTTACAATTGTTGCATATAGCCCGACAGCCAGTTTTGGTAGTACTTCTTTTCTGTGAAATGTGCCCAAATCGCATCTCTTTGGCGAGGCATTTTATTTATAATAAATTGCTCACGCACGTATTACAGCAATAACAATAGTGAACAAAACTGAACAAATGAATGCTTGTTAGAACGAAAGTAAGACCATAATTGCAAGCGAAATAAACAAAACACTACACGGGGATTTCCCTTTTGCTTGGCAGTCATTTGTCAGACGAAAAGGAAATCCCCGCGCTGTGCCCGCGCAATCCCTTGAAGGCGTGTTCCGTTTTGCGAAAAAATATAGTTAAATTAAATAAACGAAAAAATCAAAAAAATCGTAATTAGAATTTTTTCAAAAAATCGCACTATTCGATTTTTTTAAAAAATGATTTTTTCCAACCCTGATGGAAGTCAATAAAAAATGGGCGAGGTAGGTTGGTAGGACACCTTCTCAGGCAAGAAGGTCTAGTCAGAGACATATTAGAGGCAGAAACAGGAGTTATTAGGAGGGGTAGAGGTAGACTTAGGTTAGATTACTGTTCACAAATAGTTAAGGATGTGGGTTGTTCTAGTTTCAGGGAAATGCGAAGTTTAGCTCAGGATAGGAAAAAGTGGTGGTACGTGTCCACCCAGTCTTAGGACTGACGTCCTTATGATGATGATGAAGCATGAAGAGATTTTAGAAAGAATAGGAGAACAGATGACTTCATGAAAGTCAATAAGAAATAGGCGAGGGAAGTTGGTAGGACACCTTCTCAGGCATGAAGGCCTAGTTAGAGACATTTGATGCAGAAACGGGAGTTAGCAGGGGTAGAAATAGACCTAGATGACATTACTGTTCGCAAATAGTTAAGGATGTGGGTTGTTCTAGTTTTAGGGATGTGCGAAGATTACTTCAGGATAGGCAAGAGTGGAGGTGCGTGTCCAACTAGTCTTAGAACTGACGACCTTATGATGATGAAGCATTAATAGGTTAAAATCTTCTGCGTATGTAATTATAATTTTATTATTTGTTTAAGTTTTTAATTGGTAAAGTTTAATTAAAGCTTCACCTGTTTTTTATGGGTGGCTCACCAATAGCCCTATAATATATATATAATAACCCTATCATTCATCATCATAAGGTCGTCAGTCCTAAGACTGGTTGGACATGCACTTCCACTCTTTCCTATCCTGAGGTAATCTTCGCGTTTCCCTAAAACTAAAACAACCCACATCCTTAACTATTTGCGAACAGTAATGTCATCTAGGTCTATTTCTACCCCTGCTAACTCACGTTATCATCATTGATCGTCGCATTCGTTGAATTTATTGAAATGATGTTGTTTGTGAGCAGCATTGGGTTCTGCAGTAACAGCGCACCCGGTATTTTTACTTAGTTTAATTTTTACGTAGTTTTAGTTACCCCTGCAACTAATTTAGCAGTTATGCTTGTACTGTCCTTGGTCCTTGGTCGTATGGACACAAATGTTATTTCCAGTATTTATTAATTTTAACTCGCTTAGTAGTTTCCATTATGTGGCCCTGGGGGAAACGATATCATTTGTTTCAGATTGTTTACTTGAATGTTGGTATCAACTGTTTGTATGACATTGTCAACAACATCTAAGGTATCTTAGCCATCATGTCCTATTCATTCAACAAATCTGGCGCATCTTATACAAATATTATATCTCGAGCAATCACTACTCATGGAATTATCCAATAAAAATACTTTTTATTAATCTTGGAGTAAACTTGTCTTTAGTTTGAAGTTCAACAAATATACCGGAGATACAAAAACATGCAAATAGTAGGCGTGAGTTGTGGCTGCAGCCCAAAACGATTGAGGAAGTTTTGATTGAATTACCAAGCATTTTGATACATCAAGAATCGTACAATTGAAACATTCTCTTATGCGATTGTGTCGTAGATCATTCAAATACAGCACTACAATATTCTCTACGAAATCCAATCTTCATCTGCTCACTACATGGTGATTTACTCTACATGTAGAGCGAAGTGGTCATTTTTCTTCTAATGCAAATGTTACTCAAGAACTTGTATTCTTCCGGCATCTAAGCCTATTGTAATTTAGAGTATAGTGGTCACAATCTTGAAATCTAAATGTCTACTTTCGATTCATGGACATCATCTTGTCATTAAAAACAGATACTTTTGCGAAATGCGAACCTAGTGAAAGCAAATATATTCTTTTAAATTGCACTGAATCTTACATTGTCATATTGATTAGTAATTGTCGCTGAAATATCTTAAATCAGAAACATATAAGGTGTCCATCTCAACTACATTTGCATAACCATAATTATTTATCGAAATCGTAATGCCTCTTAAATCCTTAAATATCTGTGGATGAGTTACTATCTAAATTCAGGGTTTTACATTTTGGTACTCTCAAAACATTAAACTTCTTTCTATGATTATGTAAGTGACTAGTACAACCACTATCCATTAGGTAGTGAATTACATTCTCTAATGTTGTGAGAAACAGTCCCAAAATACATTCTATACGATTCACCTACAGCGTTGTCTTCCAAGGATGAACCTTATTATGTTCTTTATATTCTTATGACCAAAAGCTCCACAATTGTAACAGCGAACCTTGTTTTGTTTTTCTAGTTTATCTCCATTGCGACTGAAATTTTTATACTTCGATTCCTTGGAATTAGTTCGAATAGGTTTGCTCCTGCTGTTTGTATATTTTTGCTTTTAAGATATCTGAGGATGGCAACCCAGCACGAGCTCCAGTTGCTTACTTGAACTCCACAAAACTAGTAGACACCGTATACTATAATGCATTATTTGGATGAAAATTAATCCTCATTGCTGCACCAAAAATTCGACGAACATGTTTTCTAATATCACTTCCTTGTTGAACTTTAGTAAATATTAAAGTCTTCAGCTAATACACCTTCAGAGGTTCCCGTCGCATTTGCACAAGGCATAAGTGTGACTCTCGTCTTCATCATTTTGAAATTTGGTACACACCGTCTCTCCCGCGAACGGTCCCATTTCCTTCGGCCGTCCTACTGTATATAAAAAAGTTCGTTTGTACACCCTAATCTGCGAAATTTCTGAACCGATTTCGATGAAATTTTGTGAATGTATATGGTTTGTTCCGGTTTGATAAGTAGGACAGTTTTGGACTCAATAGGTACTAAGTTTTTCTACCAGTTCTGTATAATTATTACACCCTATTTTCTTTTCTCAAAAATGCAATTTCAAAAGTATTATCTTTGAAAGGTTCTTGCCCAATGAACATGCCTTCTTTAAGTTTTGCCTCACTTATACGACTGAATTTCTCTTTCAAATAAATAAAAGTATCCCCTTCTCTATTTAATGCTTTAACGAAATGTCCTAGTTTTATATGCAGTGAAGGTAAATATTCTTTCTGCTGCTCAGTTAAGGGTTTTTAAATCGAGCATAATATTTTCACGTAACGTTCAATTTTTGATGATATAATGTTAGTTTTCGGCTCTGCTGTCCCATTCATTTAAAAAACAATAATATTTATTGAAACGAGTCTACAATTCTGTAAGTAGTGCAGCAACTTTTAAATAGGCACCTATATTTAATGTATAATTTTAGTACATTAATCTTTGACTTTGAAGTAATAGCATACACTCTATCCGGTCCGGTTTGTTCATATGGGAACAGCGTAATTTACAGGCATAAAATATTTTTTTTTTTAGATTTTGGTGCATTTTTTATGAAACATTAAAAGCTTTTACTTTGTATTCACATTCATCAATTATAGTTTTATTTAAGGTCTTAACAAATATTCTTTTTTGAATCATTTTTATGTATATGAACATGAAGTTGATGTTTCAGCCTTTTACCTGTTTAATCGCAAATAAATAATTAAATTATTACAAGTATTGTTTCATATTTGCATATATTTGCTTTTTGTTATTTTAATTACGTTATTTTGTTTCAGTTGAATACACCTACTGGAGGATGGCGCAGAAAAACGAACCACTATGTTGAAGGAGGTGATTTTGGTAATAGAGAAGATAAAATTAATGAACTCCTTAGAAGAATGGTGTAAAATGCTATATGTAGATATGTGCCGTTGTCAAAATAAAATTGACAATATATGGTATAATATGGTTTATTTGTCACAATCACAATCCACTTTGAGTACTAAAACGTCTTTCGCTTTCGAATATGCTAACAGTTGATTTTGATTTAGTGAAGTGACCAAATTAAAATCTTGTAGCAAAATTATCAGATTTTGTTGAGATACAGATATAGCAAAACATAAAGGAAAATAGTCACCCTTCGTACACTTTTTAAATTCTAATTTTTCAATCTATGATTACCAAGATTAACTAGTTTATGCACCCAAGTGTAATAAATATATCGTCTGAAACTTTTATGTCCGAAGGTTAAAAAGGGTATAGCCTTTTTTCTACGATAAGATATTTGTACAAACGCATCCCACACTGGGGTGCTTTCGTAATGGTTTAAAAAAGCCTATTAAACTCAACTTTATTTAAATCATAAACAATATGTATTTATCATAAAACATTTGCGATCGTTTAGATTCCTAATCTTCGTCGCTTTCCATTATCTTAGCTTCCTTTTTCTTTTGTTTTGAATTAAGTTCTAGCAAACTACGCTTCAATGCTTTAGCTTTTCTGTTCTATTTTTTTAATTCTTTTTGTCTATGTCTCTTCTAGTTCATTTTTTTAGAAGTATCTGTATACAGGGGGTTTCACGTAAGCCGTTCATTTAAGTTTTTAAAAGTAGAGAGATTTGAAAATGCNTTGAATTCTCATCTACTACGTACCACCTAAACCTGAATTTAAAATATAAAGAAGGGTGATTGCTCGCACACACATACTCAGAACATAAGATAATTTTTAAATCTTGTAATTTCTGAAGTTTTTTCGAATCGAAATTTTGGTTGTGGTTTTGTGTGTATGCTTTCAAGATTTATTCTTGTTGATTGAGTATAGCTAGTATTCCCTCCTGATGTAATCAGCGTTAATAATTATCTTCTATGTTCTATTACTTTCGTCACCAATTTGTCATAACCTGAATGTTTGATTGTAATAATTCAACGATGAAAACAGTGGAATTGAATGTATTTGTAACTTCTGCGTAGTTATACAGAGTGTTTCTGAAATAAGCGGCAAGCTTTGGTGATAAACATAACTTAACCGTGGCGAATACTTTATTTAACCATAACGTTAGGAGGCGCTATACGTGGAAGATGCCAGGTGATTTAGGGAGATTCAGTTAGATTACATCAAGTGAAGGACTGTAGGAGTTATCCAGGAGCAGATATAGATAGCGATCATAACTTAGTTATGAAGACCAATCTTAAATTGAAAATTCTGAAAAAGAGGGAAGGTAGGAGACGTCTCGACTTAGAAAAGCTAAAATGTAGGCTAGGTAAAAGGACAGACGAAATACTAAAGGCGGCAGGAGAAACGAATGACGGGGACATAAAGACAGAATGGAACTGCATTAAAACGTGCCTAAAGTCAGCAGCTACAGATATACTAGGTCTTAAACAAAACGAAAGTAGGAAACCAGGAATAACAAATGAGATTATAGCATTAATAGACGAAAGGCGGAAATACAAAAACAGGACGGATGAAGAAGGTCAAAAAAGATATAAAGCTATAAAGTGGGAAATAATTAGGAAGTGTAGGGCAGCAAAGGAACAGTGGATTGGTAGGATGTGAAAAGAAGTAGAAGAAAAGTTTGAAGTAGGTAAAACCGATGAGGCTTATAATATAATTAAAAGGAATTTTAGAGAGGTAGGATACAGTAGTAATAATATAAGAAACGAGGCAGGGATCATTTTGATAGGAAACGAGGAAAAGGCAGATAGGTGGAAAGAACATTTAGAGAACCTTTATGCAGGCCCTGAGTTAAGAGATATATTAGAGAAGGAAGATAGTGTGGAGATAGATGAGCTTGGTAATCCCATAATGAGAGAAGAGTTTGATATAGCATTAAATAACTTAAAGAATAATAAGGCGCCAGGTGTAGATGGGATACAGGGGGAAATTTTAAAACATGCAGGACAAGAGGTTAGAGATCGTATGTTTAAGTTAGTTAGTCACATTTCCGAGACGGGGAAAGTCCCAGAGGATTATAAACGGAACGTAGTAGTAACATTACCTAAAAAGGGGTGCGGATAGGTGCGAGATTTAGAACAACTTCCCATGCGTCAAAAATCATAACTAGAATTGTACATAGGAGGATGGAAAAAAGGGCAGAAGAAGTATTAGGGGAAGATCAATTTGGGTTTAGAAGAAATAGAGGAACGCGGGAGGCCATTCTAGCTTTACGGGTAACAATAAGGAAAACGAGAGAAAAAGGAAAGAGTGCGTACATAGGATTTGTAGATTAAAAAAAGCTTTTGACAATGTTAAATGGAACAAGATGTTAAATATACTTAAAAATATAGGGATGAGTTACAAAGATAGAAGAGTGATACTTAGTTTGTACAGGGTTCGGCAATGAAACGGGAAGATTTGGGGTGGGGCTTGTAGCGCGCTTTGAAGTTGTAGGGTAGACAGTCACAGGCCTGTCGGGACCCGAGTGGCTTGCCATTTAGTCTACAATGGAGCGTTGGACGGGTGAGCATCGCGGTTACGCAATTAAGGCTTATTATCAAAATGGCGAGAGTTTAGTGCAAACGCGTAGGGATTTTCGACGGCATTTTAACATACCACGTTACCAACCTGTTCCGTCAGACAATGCGATTAAAATTAGGGTAAACAAGCAAACTGGATCGACGTCTAGAAAAAGAGGTGGTAGTGTCACCCGTATAAAATACAGGTTGTTCAATCTCTTCACCCGGGTGATTATCAACAGCGTCTCAGATTTTGTGAGGTTATGCTTGCCAGGTTGGAAGAAAATGGTGACCAAGTTAACTTGTGGATGAGTGATGAGGCACACTTTCACCTCTCCGGTTTTGTTAACAAACAAAATTTCAAGTACTGGGCGAAAGAGAACCCTCGTTTGCTTCATGAAACACCTCTTCATGCTCAGAAAGTGACAGTACGGTGTGCAATGTCGGCAAATGGAATCATCGGCCCGTATTTTTTTGAGGATGAGGCTGAAAATTCCGTTACCGTTAATTCTGAGAGATACGTTGCAATGATTAGGAACTTCCTCACACCTCAGCTTCACCGCTTTCCAGTTAATGAAAACACACTTTTTCAACAAGACGGTGCAACAAGCCACACTGAAAGAATTTCAATGAATGCGGTGAATGCATTGTTCCCAGGGCGTGTCGTTTCTCGAAACGGGGATATCGCTTGGCCCCGTCGGTCTCCCGACCTTACTGTTTGCGACTTCTTTTTATGGGGTTATCTGAAAACGAAAGTGTTTGGAACTGATCCACCCAGGACAATCCCGGCCCTCAAACAACGAATTCGTGACGAGATTGCAGCAATACCTGTTGATAGGCTGCGAAGAGTTATGCAGAACTTTCAGGCTTGACTCCATAAATGCATAGGTGTCAACGGAGGACATTTGGCAGATGTAGTTTTCAAAAAATAATTTTTTGTAACATTGTATATCAAATGGCTAGTATTTTCTTTCCCATTAATGTATTAATAATTACAAAAAAAATATTTTTTCAACAATAAAATTATTTACGAAATCTTCCCGTTTCATCGCCGAACCCTGTACATAATCAGTTCGTTTTGTTATTAATGTAACAAGATTCCAAAAAGCTTTTGACCATCATTTAGACACATATATATATAAGCATTTTTTATACTAACCTGACATGAATCTGAAAAGGGACCAACCCCTTTAGCACAAATCATTCTGTCAGTGAGAAATTCGTACCCGGTTGTCTGTTTGCAAACACT